TGTGATATTTAACCAATGTTTACTTTCGAAACATCCGATATGCTATAATGCTACCATTACGACTGTAGTTCACTAACCTGCCGTATCAGCCTCGGTCGCGCCACCGGTCACTTCGCCTGTATGCGGCGAGTTAGCAATCCCCTTGGGTTAGTATCTATGGGTAAGGTAGTGCTGGTCTATAGCGGACTAGATGTGTCGTGGTTATTACAAGTGTTTGTGGTGTGGGTGATGATTGTAGCGATGTGGCCGTGAGGACAGACCGTGCGCTCGGGGTGCTCGCGCGGGGCCTGGAGACGAATCGTCACAGCAGCGAACTCTGGATGCACTACCTGCGCATCTACAGCAAGCGCGCCGACTGCAGCGACATCGCCGACCTGTACAAGCAGGCGACGAAGTATGCGCCCACCTACGCCATCTGGTGGATGGTGAGTGAAGATCAGCTCAATGCGTTAATTGCCGGTACTGTGCCGTTTCTGCATTCTTTTCGCTTTATTCTATTGTGGCAGTTATGGATTACAATAACCATGTTATTATGTTACCTATATCTTGTATATCTATATGTATATATGTATATACTTATATTAGTAATCGTGTATAACGTATTGTAATGCGTTTACTCTCAGTGGTTGCAGCAGGAGAAGAACGCTAAGGAGAAGGATGCGGTATGCGTGAGCGCCATCTCCTTCCTTCTCTCCGCGAGAGTTTCCTGCGACGCTGCCGACCCAACAACGGCAGGTGACGACCCAAGCATGACCCCTGAACCTGCTGTGACCTCTGACCAGACACCAGGAGGCGCTGGCGGCATGGATGGCTCACTTTTACCGGCTGCAGGTAACGGATGCAAAAGTGTCAACGTGCGGTGCTGCTGTTGCTGCTGCTGATGATAATGATAGAATGATTAATGATCTTAGTTTGATATCAGCAGGGGTTAATAATGACAAACCAAATATTATTTGTCATTATTAACCCCTGATATCAGTGATAGCATCATTTAATGATAAATGGAGAATTGCCAGCGAAACATCTTAAGGATACTGTTAGGGTTACGGACGGGTAACACTGTAAAGGGCATTGCAACATAACTGCTAATCAAATTCAATCAAACTCATATCCATTACATGAGAGATGTCTCTCTACACTCTCGATGATATTTTTTTTTTTAATTTATCGCTAATAAAGTGACGTCAAAAATTGTGAATTTATACAAAAAAAAATCCTTTTTTCTTATTTCTCAGAAACAGCAGAGTTGGAACCTAAACTTTTAACCATAAGTTGTTCATAGTATGAACTAAAAAAGCGTCCCTGGAATTTTTTTTAAATGTTTTAATTTAGGAAATAAGTTGAAAAGATATAAGAAAATTTGTAGTGATTTTCAAAATGCAACAATTTCGTAAACAAAGAGCCATAACTTATAAAATATTATATTTTAACAAAATTGAAACGTAACAAAAAATTTGGAATCGGAGTTGTGTGAGTTTCGAGAAATAGCGTTTGAAAAATCAGCAACTTCAGCATTTCAACAATGGAGATATTAGCACTTTTCTAAATTTTCTATGATTGGAAGCCTGTGTTAAGAATTTACTAATGCGGGGATTTGGAACTGTTTGGGAGGGCCACATACATAATTTTTACATTTCTGCCCATAAGTGCAATCTATCAAATAAAGTGGGTATTGAAATTTTGACCGAAAATCACCTCCCAACCCTAACAGTATCCTTAAGTTTGCATTAGAA